CCCTCCTTTGGCCTCTAGTGATGAGCTTTGTGGGGTTTCTGCTCGCAACCCCGACTCTGGTTCTAGGTGACAGCCTGGCTTCTAGCCAAAGGAACAAGAGGGCACCAGTCAGCTGAGACTGAGAATTGGTTTATAACCCTGCTCCTTCAGGCTTCTTTCTATAGTCAGTCTCATCACCACACCCTTCCTCTCTCCTGCTTTGTGTGTGGGTACGGAGAACTCACCAATACCTGGAAGCAGTGAGATGTGAGGGCACAGTAGAAAGAAAGGGACTGGTTTCTCTGACCTGGAAGCAGTGAGAGGTGAGGGCACAGTAGAAAGAAAGGGACTGGTTTCTCTGACCTGGAAGCAGTGAGATATGAGGGCACAGTAGGCAAGAAAGGGCCTGGTTTCTCTGATCTGCAGCCCCTCCTCAGACATAGCCAGGGCTCCATGCAGTTGACAGTTGGAGGCATCATCTATGTTCTGTATTTTGTAGGTCATATCAAAAGTTAGGTGATGGATTTGTGAGAACAGAGGTACCTTCTTCAGGGCTTCCTGCATACCCTCCGAGGCTGAGTGCCTGGGGCAGGGCATCAGGGGACTTCCCATAGCAGAGTCTGCCCACCTTGGTGGAGGCAGCCCATGCCTCAGCCCTGGTCTGGCTGGACACTGGTTTGGGAGGCAGGTGTGGACTCCAGGCCATGCCAGATGCTGCTCCCCCAGCCACCCTGTGATGCCACTGCTGGACGGTGTGCTCACTTTCTGGGTGAGGTGGCCCCCACAGGATCCTGGGCTGTATCCTTAGTGGCTAGGCCATAGGGAAAGGCACAGACAGCAACACTTTATGCAGCAGCTCTGTCCCCACTTGCTCTTCTAGAGACCTGTGGATACTGATGCTGTCTGCGGAAGAGTCTGTGGGAGCTCATGGACCCTGAGCACCGAGGCTTGGTGCATTAGGCCTGGTCGTGCTCCTGGCCTAGGACAGGTGCCTCAGACCCAAAACCCAGACCCTGGGGCGGTGCCTGTTGCTCAGTGGGTAGGGCGCCAGCCTTATATACTGAGGGTGGCAGGTTCAAACCCAGCCCCTGCCAAACTGCAACAAAAAATAGCCACCACAGTGTTGTGGCAGGTGCCTGTAGTTAGGCACCTCAGGAGGCTGAGGCAAGAGAATTGCCTAAGCCCAAGAGCTGGAGGTTGCTGTGAGCAGTGACACCACAGCACTCTATTGAGGGCTATAAAGTGAGACTCTTAAAAAAAAACCCCAGGCCCTATGCACCAGCCTAGGGGTGACAAACACATGTGTGGCCTGAACGTGTACCTCTGCCCCACTGGCACCCCTTTGGGGAGTGCATTTATCTTTGGGGTCACTAGGATTCTGGGATAGGCTGGGGTATAAGGTGCCCCTTGGGTACCATGTGAGCCTCAGGAACTGGGAACAGAGGTCCTCAGCATCTTCTGTCCCACATGGTGGTAGGAGGCCTGTACCAGATAGTGACTGGCCATCTAGAAGCCTGTTTCCAGAGGGGGACCCCAGCCACACATGGTCTGGTCACATGATAGGATTCATACCTGGAGGCCTGATGCCCTCACTATCGGGCTAGGAGGGGGCAGAGGGGAATTGGGTCTTGACTGTGAGGTGTCCCCATATGGGGGTGGGGTGGGACCCCACAAGCAACATTCTTTGCTCAGGGATAGCTCTAGTGTCTGGCTGGGCTCTGGCAAACCCTCCCACCAGGAAGATCCAGAAGGTAGGTTGCGCAGTGACACCCTGACCAGGGAGTAGCAGCACAGAGCAGGCCCAGGAGTGCTGGCAGGCTAAGGAGTGACTGCTCCCGGCCTTAGAGGCCAGCCTGGGTGCACAGCATGTCCCGTGGCTGATGGAAGGTGAGTTCTAGTGGGGCCAGACCAGTATCCTAATGAAGTGTCGGCCTGGCCAGTGACAATCACAGCTCTCTACCTCTGCTATCCTTAAGCAGAGCTGGACATTTGTTCTCTCAGCAAGTGTCTGTGTGGAAGGAAGGCTGCTGAGGCCAACACCACCACACAAGGTACCACTCTTTCTCATTTGCTACCATAGACCTTGGAAAGGCCAGCATGTTTCTGAAAGTAGTAAGTGTGGCTTAACCTGCTGTCAGGCCCAGCAGAGGGTCTGCTGTGGATACCCTAAGAGACAACCATGCTGGGTCTGGGGTGCCACCCGCCATGAGTGAGCAGGTGCAGGGGCATCTTCTCATGGGACACGCTGACCTTGGTGCCTGAGGGTTCATGGGGACACCTGAGTTTTCAGAAGATGGTCAACTTTCTTCTCAGCAGGAATCCTCAGGTGTTACCTACTACTTGCAAGCTGATCAAAATAGAGTCTGCCAGAGTTGCACTTCCCTGAGACCCTGCAACACTAGAGAAGTTGGGCATGGAACCACCAACGGTCTGTCATTTCACAGGATAGAAGTGAAGTGTAGACAGAGCCATTCACCTGTGCTCTCGTTGATATTATCTGTTGTTTCTGTACTTGTCAGTCTAAGAGTATAAACTACTTTTCAAATCATTTTCAAACTTCCAGAGATTACATGAACGCCATCTAGTTTTCACACCTCTATTTACCTTGGTAAAATGAATTTTCTTTGGCATTTACCCAGCCTTTGTGCTTGCATCTGCTGTCTTGTTTGCAGGGCCTAAAGGTGGTCAGCTGTCCCCACTCCAGGCTGCCTGTTGTAACCTTGGGGCGGAAGGGAGGCAGTGGTTACAGGTAGACCTCATCCTTGAACAGAGCTCAGGGTGCTGCTGGGTAGAGTGGGCTGGCTGGGCTTCTTGGCTGTGACCCAGCCCTGGCACTCTGTTTTTCAATTTCCTGGAGAGTCAGCTGGCACCATCTCCCTCTTCCACTGGGAGGTGCCAGCACAGCCATACATCCATCCTGGCCCCGCCTCAGCCTTAGGAGACCCAGCAGTGGGCTTCCCACTTGGAAGGGGTCACAGCACCCCCACACCATCTTTGGACTGAGCATTAAAGTCAGCACAAGGGGACCTCAACCACATGTGCTGCCCTGCAGACTCACAGGCCATGAACCTTGTTCTGAACTCCCACCTGGCCAGTCGGGAGCTTGGGACATGGGGCAGCCATTTCTAGGCCAGCAGAGGAACCCTGTGTGCTCTGACCAAAGTGGCCTAATTTCAGAAAGGAGCTCCCATCACCTGGAACACACTGCACGGTGGTTGGTTGGTCAGCAAGAGTTGTTATTCCTTCCTGAAAGTGCTCCTGACAAATGGCTGAAGTGGAATCATGTCTGTGGCCTAGAGCCATGTGGGACTTTGCTTCTAGACCCACTCAGGTCCCCTTGGGCCTGGGTGTGTTTTGGGGGTTTCCAAGTCTAACCTCAGTAGGAAGGTGAAAAATTAGGAGTCCTCAGGTCCTCTCTTACTGAACACAGGGGCCTCACCAAGCTAGACTAGCAGGTGTGGGAGCAGAGGTTACTACCCCTGCCTGGGTCAGCACAAGCACCCTGAGTTCCACGTGGGTATGACCAGTGACTGAAAACAACACAGAAGTGAGGTGCCCATGAAGCCAGACCTGGGTAACACAGGTGCTTTGCTCTCCCAGGTCTGTCCCCCAACTCCCTGCTGCCTGAACCCTGCACAGCCTCCAGGGCCCACATCCTCCTGCTGCTCTTTTGGGGCCTGGAGCAGATCCTAAAGCCCTTTGGACACCCACCCTAGTCTGGATTGCCCAGACCTTGAGTTCCCCACAGCCCAAGTCCTGCCCTGTGTCCTGTCTCCTTGAGGCCATAGCTTGAGCACCCTCCATGGACTTTTCTTGGCCCAATGAATTACACAAGACCAGACTCCAGGAGCATCAGGAGCTGGATTAGGGGCAGGCCTTTGCCCCTTCCATACTAGAGCAGATGGCAGAGGGCCACAGATCCTGAGAGCCAACAGAACTCCCCCAGGCTCTGCCAACCCTATTGCAGAACCCAAGGTTCTAAAACCACACTGCTGCCTGGTCTATAAGAGGGGTGTCCTGGGGTATCTAGGGCAGAACACCTAACCCCAGGACAGTGGTGCCCATGTGTTGCCCCCCAGCCACAAGGAGAACCCTGGGCAGCCTGCCATGATAGAGCCCCATCCCTGTCAGCCCAGCTGTTGGGTATGTGCCAGGAGCTTCTGGAGAAACATCCATCCCCCACCCCACTAGAGGCAGCCATCTGCCCTAAAAAGGAGGCCTGGCACCCTTGACTTTAAGCTGCCCCAACCCCCCTAAATCCATAATAAAAATAATCCTTCCCTAATGTGCCCCAGTTCCAGAAGTGCTTTTTGATCCAGCTGTGCACCAGTGTGCATCAAGGACAGGGGGTAGGGTGTGGGTGACCCTGTTTCATTGAACCACCACAGGGATTTAATCTGTTGAGTGACTCAAGGGGCCTGAGTGCCCACAAGAGACCAAGCACTGTCAACCAGACTAGGTGGTTGGGCCCCAAGAGGTTCCATGGGACATGGGGGCAGGGTGACAAATTCACAAGCCCTTAGCCCAGGGGAGGTCCCAGGAGCCCCCAGTCAAAGGCCTGGGCCAGGTCCCCAGAGAGGGGAACTTTTGCAGGGATTGAGTCTGGGAAGCTTGGTCCTGGTGCCTGTGAGGCCATGGTTGCTGCCTGGGGGCTCCCGCCCAGGACGCAGCCTCCTGTATGCGTCACCTGATGATCCCTGAGGTGCGCTAGGGGGATGGGAAGAGACGTGGGGAAATGCATCTGAAGAAAACAGGAGGCTTCTGCCCTGGGAGTGGACAACAGGGCCTTAGATTTGGTGGGGGTTGAGGAGGGAGGTGATGGCACAGAGCACCAGAGGGCCTCCCCTGAACCCCCTGGCAATGTGTTCCGCAGCCACCTCAGATAGGCACAGTGTCAAGGCACCCTGGGTCTGCGTAGAGCAAGTGCAGCCATTCCCAGTTCAGGGGAACAAGGCCAGGCTCGCTGCTAGCCAGAGGCTCACATGCCCAGTGGGACTCACTGAGGCATGCCTTCTGCTGGCCCTCAATTTCTCTGTCAGTGGACACTACTGAAGGCTGCCTGCATCAAGTAGACTTGCAGAGACCCTAAAAGAGCAAAGGGTTCTGGGACACTAGAAGATGGTGATAGCTCTGACCAGAGGGTCCCTTGGACTAGGGGACAATTTAACCAGCTGAAGGCCCTTTGTATAGCAACATCACAGTCCAGGAGCCCACCCACCCCAGTTGAAGGAAACCCTCCCTGCCCAGTACAAGAGTCAACCCCTCAGGGACACTGGACCAGCCCCACACCATCCCTTGGCTGCATGTTCCCCCAACCCCAGGCAAGACCAGCAGAGGCTGGCAGTGTGTGCCAGACGAGATTGGTCTCTGGGGTGAGCCCAGTCCTAAGAAGGGGGGTAGGGGCGGTGCCAGGGCCCCAGGCAGCAGGAGTGGGCTGGGCACCTGCCAGGGCTCTGCCTGCCTGTCAGCCGACTCACTGCACATCTCTCAGCCTTAGCTGTCACCTCACTGGCACCAGGCCCGTCATCACTTTCCTCTTACTGTCACCTTCCAAGGTAAGTCAAGCCCCTTGTAGTGAGGAGGGAACAGAGACCTGGGACTTGCATAGGTGAGTCCCACTGGGCTCACCAAACTCCAGGGGTGTAGGGAGGCTGCTGAGCATACAGAGGACAATGGGAGGGCGACCCACCCAGTGCTGTGGATGGGGTGGAGCCCCGACTAGTGTGCCGTGTACTGCCATGGCAAGGGGGAGTCCCCAGGGCACAAGGCTGGGCTCAGGTGGTGGCAGCTATGTGCAGGACCAGGCTGCAGAAACACCCCTGGCTGGGAACTGCCTGTGCACAGGGCTGCCAGGGAAAAGTTCTGCTGCAGGCAGGGACACGAGAAGTTGAGAGCTCTTGAGAGTCCCAAGCATGCCCCCCACAGACCAGCTAGACTTCCAGACTCTCACCCCTGGCTTCTGGCTGGGTTGTTGCCTATGTTCCCTCCCAGACTAGCCACCATGTTACCAACCAGACTCCCACCATCACCAGAACCGGGGCAGCTACAGCCCCAAGGATATTCTACCACCAGGATCCCAAAAAGTCCACAAGTCCCCCACCCGCCTCAAGGTTGAGAAAACCAGTCCTGTTTTCCAAACTCAGGGATAGGGTACAGTGAGGAACTGACTCCTGGATGCCTGGAGTGGGCAAGGGATGAGAGCCAGGGCATCCACTCTCACTTGCTCCAAGCTAGTGGGTGTTGAGGTATCTCAACCTCTGGCTCTGCCAGGCTGGTTCACAAGCAGTAATCAGGCCAGGTGACTTGGTCAGCTTCCAGGAAGACACGGGGCATTGGAGGCCACCCACAGCCCAGGTCCCCAGGGTCTTCAGCATACTTTCCCACTCTATCAGGGATGCAAACTGCAGCCAAATCTTCCCAGCTGGGATTAACTCACTGAGTGGGCCTTGCCCATGCAAAGCAGTAGGAAGCAGGCTCCTAGGGCCCCAGCCCATGTCACATCTCGGTTTGGGTTACCCTCTGTGATCAGGAGCTGGGACCAGTCCTCACAGTTGGAGGGTAGAGGGCTGGGGGGAGGTCCCCCCATACTGTGTGCCCTGTGCTGCTCTCCTGGAATAGGGGGATAATGTCCCATCCCCCTCCAATCCAGGGCTAGACCCTGGTGGGGTTTAGGGGACAGGAGGGCACAGAGCTAAGGATGGAAAGTCTCTTCTGCACTTAATTAGCCCCACAGGGAGAAGGGGAGAGTTGAGGGACCTCACTAGTGGGCCTCTTGGGACTAACTCTGGACCTGGTGACTTGCCTAGGCAGTGGCTGGAATTTCCTCCCTCCCTTTGTCCTGGGAGGCTCAGGCCAGTGGGGAGAGACTAAATGACAGAGACCTCGGGCTGATGGCCCCCTGGTTATTGCTTCCTCCTGATCCTCCAGCCCCAGGCTGGCTACTTCAGAAGCCCCAGACGCCATGGAGGAGTGGGACGTGCCCCAGATGAAGAAAGAGGTGGAGAGCCTCAAGTACCAGCTGGCCTTTAAGAGGGAGATGTCCTCCAAAAGCATCCCTGAGTGAGTGTCCCCAGTGGTGAGATTTGAATGTCATTTGTCTGCCCAGCTTATTTGCATGAGCCCAGCCCATGCCCCAGCATAGCAGGTGCCATCAGCTGGCACCACCGGGGCCAGGTACCCACCATTCACCCACCCCACCTGCCTGCAGGCTCCTCAAATGGATTGAGGACGGCATCCCCAAGGACCCTTTCCTGAACCCCGACCTGATGAAGAACAACCCCTGGGTGGAAAAGGGCAAGTGCACCATCCTGTAGACCCAGAGCCCCTCGCTCCTGACTTAGACTGTTGAGGATGAGTCTGTAAAGGTGTGACTTTTATAAAAACTTCTCAAGGGCTTCTTTGCTTTTGTATACTTCGGTATCCCCCATGGGCTACAGGATTCTGCAGTGGGGTCTCCTCCTGGCCTGGGGCTACAGTAGGTCCCTGATGTACAGGCTGCGCCGCACAGCGTTAGAGACACCCTCATTGAAGCGGAACCAGACCTCGCTCCTGCCTGCTGCTATGCCAATGCGCCGCTCCACTGCATCCTTCTCCATGTCCTCTGCAGGGGCCACATGGTTGCTCCTGGGCCCAGCCTCAGCCCCCCAGGTTCCCCACCACCCCTACACACACCTGCTCTTGGGGCTGCCACACTCCTGATGATCACACGTCCAAAGAAGTCCCTCTCAGGCTGATGGGGAGGAGGGGCCAGTCAGGCTCTCAGGACAGACCCTGGTACAGCCCCTGCTACCAGAGGGGAGGACCCGGAGGCCTCAAGTGCCACTGAGAGCCTCTCCAACCCTGCTCAGCCCCACACCTCCCACACCAGTCACCAGTTCACAGTGGCCTGCCCCCCCCACCAGAACCAGGGCAGGCACCACCATCAGGGACACTCTCCTGCCCAGATGGGAACTGAGGCCCAGGTAGAAGACTATCATGCTAGGTAGCAGGGAGCTGAGCCTTTAAGAAGACAGCCCACAGCCCTTAGGGCTCAGTCAGCCCCCTGCCCTACAACTCAGCTCTTCCCCCACCCCTTCAAGACTGCCTGGCCCCACCCCCGCAGGTCAGCTCCACCCCACAACTGCTTTGGCCCCAATCCTGCAGCACAGTCCCTCTCATGGTTATGCCAACCCTGCCCAGGCACCTGCTCCTCCCTGGCTGTTCTCATAATGTGCTCCAACCGTTGCTTGTGATTGGGCAGAGTTGGTTGGCACAGGTCTTTTCCCACACTACCTTCCAACAGACCCTCAGGTCCTGGGGGGCTTCTGTCCACCTGCAGGAAGTGGGGCACAGTGAGGCTGGCTGGGCAAGGCTATAAGGCACCTACCAGGCCCTGCATGCCCAGGCTCACTCTGTTCCAAGGGCCCAGGAAGGCTCACCTGGGGGCTGTTCCCACCCCGGGCCACAGCCTCTGCCCGCCGCATCTTCTCCACCTCAATTTCCCGAGCGATGAGCTGCTTGGCCTGGTAGGTGAGGGGCTTGTGGGTGGGCAGCTCAGGGAAGCGGCAGACATCCTCTACATTCCTGCTCAGGGCAGGAGGCAAGAAAGACACCAGAATGCCTCATCAGCGGGGATGGGCCAGAGACCCCTCTGGCACAGGAACACCCAAAATGCCACAGCTGACAAGCTAGAGTGTGGGGCTGAGTTCTGGCACTGTAGCACCCCAGCCCTGGGGCAGCCATTGGTTAAATGTCCAGAGCCAGTTTTCCCAACTGCAGTGGAAATAACAACAGAATCTACCCAGGGATGTGGAGAAAGAAATAAGACAGCAGGGAAAGACCAGGGGACTCAGTGTCCTGGACATGGGTGCCCCTTCTAGGGCAACAGTGCCCCAAGGCCATGGCTGCTAGGCTTCACACTGCACCTCCCATGGCCATCTCAGGGTGGGAAATAGCCCTTGGGATTCTAGTCAGTCATGGGGTTTCTGGGGGCTGTTCCTGGAGGGGCACTAAGGCTGGAAGTAGCTCTGCTATAAAACAGGTCCCAGGGCTGTGCCCAATGGGGAAGAGGGGCTTAGCAATGACCACCCCCATCTCACAGCTGCATCTGAGCAAAGGCTACACTGGGACTGACCCCTCCTGGACACCTCACTAGGACTGTGCTTTTAGTCTCCTGATCCAGCATGGGCCTGGCACCAGCACACAACCCCCAAGGCTAACCCCTACTGGCATGGGGTACTCACGGCTCCAGCTTATAGACATACTGCCCATCAGGCGTGCGCTCCTGGCGGTAGGTGAGGCTGTACGCAAGCATTGTGCCCACGAGGCTGGCCAGCTGCTGCTTCTCACGGGCACTGTATAGCTGTGTGCTCACCTGAGGCAGTGGGTAGGGTGGGAGGTTGAGCAAGGCAGGGGCCTGCCACCAAGAGCCCACTCCTCCTCATGGCTCAACACTCACAGGGCGTAGCTTCGGTGCAAGGATGTCCAGGAGCAGGCAAAGGGCATCTAAGACAAGAGCCTGGGGCACAGCCCGGCTGCGTGTGGCTGGTGTCATGCCTGACACCAGTGTCTGGATCAAATTCCTCGTCTGACTTATCCGGTTCTGGGCCTGGGGCAGAGGGTAAACCAGGGCCAGGTCACCTAGGACCTCCAGGACCAGACCCTGGGTGGGGACAGGGGCAGAGTGGGCACCTCCTGCTGGCTGCTGGGGAAGGTGATTCTCGCCACATGGCTGGAGGCAAAGAGCACGTGGAAGGCCGCAGGCAGGAAGGGCAGGTAGCGCAGCAGCTGGAAGCTCTGACTGTGGTGGGCGGCCTGTGCCAGCAGGTCGTCAAAAGCCAGCCAGTCGAGGGCACAGCACACAGTACCGAGGCTGGAGTCACGCAGGCGCAGTCGCAGGAAATTGTCAAAGAGGCCCTGTGGCAGCAGGTAGGTATGAGTCCTGCGGCCCTCAGCACTGCCCTTTTTCTCCACTACCCTGCCAATCTTGAGTCTGGGGGGCCAGGGAGGATGCTCCCTGAGCTGCCACTCCAGCAAAGACCATGAGACTCGGCAGAGAGGGCTGCAACCCCAGCCCCTCCCTCCACGCATGCAGTCCTCCCCCTCCTTCCATGTGGGATCCTATCCCCATGGCAGCACCACGAGCTCCCTCCACAGTATGGATTTCCAGAGTGGCCAGGATTCCCAGCCACTCATCCAAAAGGGCTTAGAGAGGCGGCTTAGGCTAGGTTTTCTTAGGGGTGAGGCAGAGGTACTGGGGACCTCTATCCCTTGTTTAAGCCAAACACCCACCCCACTTGTACCCTTCCTCAGCCAGGCCATGTGGCAAAAGCTCCACTCCCAACCCACTAATTCCAGGGTCAGACACTGTCCTCCAGGCCCTCTTGTACCCTCTGGCCCTCTCCAGCCTCCTTGCTCACCCCTTCTCACTGCTCATGGCCACCTCAGCGCCTTCCTGGAGCCCCATCGCTGTGGCTCCCACCCCTGGCCTCCTCTCACTCAGGCCCTGAAACTTCTGGTCACTGTCTACTCCCCAGGGGAAGCCTGGCCCAGCCTGCTAGTCCCAGGCAAGATTTATGGTAGAAAGTAGGTACCTGGACCACCTTCTCATGCTCCCCTGCAGAGGTGGCAACGTGCAAAACATGGTAGAACCGTTGTGAGGCTGTGGTCAGGGAGCCCACATCCCCATGGTTGAGCAGCAGCATGTGGGTAAACAGGTCCTGGCCCTGGCCCATGAGTCGCCTGTAGGGGGTGTGGAGACCAGGTGGGTAGGCCTGGTGAAGAAATAAGCTGTCCGGCAGCGGCCTGAGTTTGCACACTGACAATGCTGTGGAGTTACCTGAAGGCCCCATGGCTCACAGGGCTCACACCCCTGGACTAACCTTTGAGGAAGGTCATCCTCTAGGGCCATACCATAAATAGCATATTCCAAAAGCTGGGGAGCCCTGGGTCCCTCTCCTCTGTCCTACAGGCACTGACCAAGCCAGCATCCCCCCAAGGCCATCAGCTGGTGAGCTGCTCCCTGCCCTGAGGCCTCATGGTGCTGCCTAACACACAGGTGCTCCAAGGTCATAGCCCACAGACCAAAATGTGGCAGAGACAGGCCCAGGCTAGAGCTACACCCTGGGGGCCTGGCCACATCCAGGGCATCCTTCCTGTGAGGATGCCCAGGTAACTCCTGCCCAGGCTCTAAGCCACGAAAGCTGTGGAGACAGACAGGAAGGCCAGGGAGGCCGAGGCACAGCCTCAAAGGCCAGGTTGGGAGGCACCCAGGTCACGGGTGCTGGTCTCAGTCAGAGCAAGTGGTATGGGCTACACGTGCAGGACCTGACATCCTGAGGCTCCAGGCACCAGGAATGTACAGACCAGACTGGCCTGCCACCTACCTCTGGGCCCGAGGCAGCTGAAACACCTCCTGCCACACTGAGAAGAGCCCCTTGCGCTGGTCCTTAAGTCCAACACGTGTGGTCTGCACATCCCGCATGCTCAGCTCCCGCTGGCCCCTCCTGTACAGGAACTGGACACAGGGTGGGCATGACAGGCAGCCCCAAACACCCAACCCCAACCCCATCCTGCTGCCTGCCTACCTGCAGGGTGTTGATGCAAGCACGGATGTCATTGTCTGCCTTCTCGCAGAGGGCCGCCAGCGCACCTGGGTCAGCCTGCATGCCCTGCCGCAGGGAGATCTGCACAGGAGGGCACAGATGCTGACCCCTCCACTGCTCTGGGGCACCAGCCGGGAAAGCTATTTCAGAGCCCCACCCTGTGGCCACAGCCCTCTTCCCTAGAAACAGATAAAGAGCAGCCCATCTCCCAAGGGCCAAAGGCTGCAATTGTCTGGACTGGCTTTAGCCCTGGTTGGGGCTGCCCTCCACCACCATATCCCAGAGCCAGTTGGGGACACTGAGGAAATAGGCCACACCCCTACCTCATAGTCAGCCATGTGGCTTCCTGGGCCCAGGCCCCACCCTACTGACCTCCTGCAGCCGCTGAACCAGCCTGGAGGGCAGTGTCGGTGGGAAGTGGAGCAGGAAGGCCTGCTGTTTCAGCTGCCGCAGAGACGGTGCATACCTGAGGAAGGGGATAGCAGTGCCCTCACCAGAGGCACCTCCAGGGCCCACACCACTATCCAAGGGCACAAGGGCCCTCTCCAGTCTGCCCCACTCACTGGTCGTTGCAGATGCAAATAATGGGCCTCATTAGGAGTGCCCTGTCTGCCTGGCCCCGACGGCCTCCACCCAAGGGTACAGCTGGGCCCCTTGACTCTGCCTCCTGTGGACCCCTGCAGTTCAGGACGCTCAAGAGGACATTGATGGCAGCCTTCAAGAAGAAGCAGAGAGCACAGTAAGCCAAAACTCCAGTGCCCATCTGCCCACCTACCCACCCACCTGAGGCACCAAGGAGGCCCACCGTGGGGGCTCCATCAATCTCATCGATGACCAGGCAGTTGGGCCTCCCACTAGCACCCAGCACCGACTCCATCTGCGTGGCTGCCTCAATGTGTATGCGGAAGGCCTCAGGGCTGCGGTCATCACTGCAGCAGGGAGGGTAGGGAAGGGTCATCAGGGTGCCGTGCCCTCAGCCTAGGCAGCATCCAAAGTTCCTGGTGGAAGTTAGCATCTGCACCACGAGGGCCCTACTAGACACGGCTGCCCAACCCAGTGAGCCCCAAAGAACGTGCTCCACCCAGCTCACAGGCTTAGGGCTCAGGGCCTGGCCCCACCCTCAAGACATAATGACCCCATTCAAGTTTCGGGGCTTGACCCAGACTTAATTGAAAACGTCAGGATAGACAAAAGAACCACTTGCCTTGCATTCATCTCCACTACGGAGTACCCTGCATGCCGTGCGATCACATGAGCCAGAGTGGTCTTGCCCAGCCCAGGGGGCCCACACAGCAATGCTACCTGCAGCCCAGGTAGATGAAGAGGAATACAACACACAACGTCCCTAGGAACTCCTGGCCCCACAGCCAAAGACTGGACATCCTGTCCCACAGGCTGGTGCCCTGCCCTGCTCTAGCCCCCAAATGGAATGAAACTCACTGTGCTCTTACACAGATACAGAAAGAAGTCCTGCATGAGTAAGTTACCTGGGGACTGGATCAGAACACAGCTGGTACCACATGACCAACCCCCAGAAATCACCCACTATCCACTCAGATCATCCCAGTGAGATGTAGAGCCCTTGGAGGAGTATTAGCTTTATCTAAAATACTACACACCGAAACTCTGATGTCACCTATATCCTCCAGACAAAGCAAATGTACCTTGCAGCCCCCAGAGGCTGTGATGGCACTAGCTACCAGGAAAACAAAACCTCAAGTTCAGCAGAACCTACAGCACAGTCAGGGCCTCACCTTCTGCCGGGGCCGCTGGCTCGAGTCCAGCTCAGCCTCCAGCATCTCCTCCACCACCTGCTCATGGCTCTTCCACTTGCCAGAGGCTGTGGCCTCCTTGTTGACCCGGGCCGGCTGGGCACTGGGCCTGGGCTTCCGGGCAGACCTCTCATGGCCAAACACTACTAGGTCCCACAGCTTTAGCCACTTGAGGAGGCAGCGGTTGGTGAACTGTGGGAAGGGAGGCACAGCCTAAGGGAAGCCCCTGCCTCAAATGGCACCAAAGACCCATGCCTATACTCACATGACCTGCTATTGTTAGCTCTGTGACATGGACAGGGATGCCAGGCCTCATGCCAGGGCCTCTATCCCCACAACTCAAGCCCCAACCCAACTAAGAGTCCCCTGCCCTCTGCCAAGGCACCCAGCATCAGTGTCTGTCATAGCGGAAGAGAAAACAGACTTGGGACAGGGGACATCCTGGATCCCCAGCCCAGCTCACAGCAGGGTACAGGCCACCAGCAGCAGGCATCCCTGCACCAACTCAGATCCCCCCCAGGGGCTGGGGAAAACTGAAGCTGCTTCAGAGGCATAGCCTCCCTACCCACATCCTAGGTGCAGGCTTTTGGTAGTCATTAAGTGCTGCCTTAACTCATAGGGCAGACAAAGCCCTCCCCCAATCCCACAACCCAGTGGGCTGGCAATGCAGGGACTATCTAGGGCCCAGGTTTCTCCTTCCCAGTAATGGGGAAAGTCCATCACACTTCAGTGAGAACAAAACCTCACATCATCACTGAGCAGCTCCGTGTAGTGCTGGGGTGCAAACTCATCCACCCAGAGGCATTGTTGGACATTGTCTTGGCCTTCAGCTGGCTCTTCCTCAGGGGCCTCTACAGGCTTGGCCTCTTCCTCCTCTGGCCCAATACTAGAGAACATTGTGTTCTAAGCCACCAGATCCCTTGCAGTGACCATGCTGGCACCACACCCCATGGGACACAAGCTGGGGTTGGTCCAAGAACCAGTGAAGATCCCAGGACAGAAGGGTCTCCCAAGTCACCTGCGCAGGGGATCTGAGAGCTGCTGGACTTCCTCAAGTAGCCACTGCTGTCGCTGTGCAAACCAGACCTGGGTCAGGCAGGCCCAGGGGGTCAGTTACCTCTATGCTGTCCCCTCTAAAAAGCCCCTAAGACCCTACCTCATTGTCAACCTGCTCCTTCAATGAAGCAAAAGACACACCCAGAAGGTCCAGCTGGCCCCGGCCTCGCCACCGGATGTCAAGGAGTGGGCTCTATGAGGAAAGAAATCTAACAGTCACCTCTGGGTTCTGTCAGGCTGAGGAGTTACCCATAGTCCCCGAACAGTGCTCAAGAGCCCTGATGGGATTCTCCCACATAAGCCAGTCAAAAGAAGTAGAAAGATCTGGCTGTCTGATCAAAGCCCTAAGAAAAGAAGCTGCTCAATGGGGGACTTTAGAAGGGGGAAGGAAGGGAAAAAGGAGAACCACCCATCCTTAGGGTACACACTGGGGGCACAGCAGGGTGGGGACAAGGAGGCTATGTACACCAAAAAAGCCCTCCAAAGGAGCTTCACTCTCCCACAGCCCCAGGCTGTGTGGATGTCACCCTTCAGTGTCAGCAAATCCAACGGTCCCCTCCTGGGTGGGGTCCAGGACCTTTTCCTAGGTGGTGCTGGCCCACCCACCTTATTAGAAGGTCAAGGCCAGCTCTGTGAGAGTGGCTACAAAGCACCTACCTCCACCCCAGTGCCCATGGGGTCTGAACGCAGCACCAAGAAGGCTCGTATGCCTCCTGTGGATGTCACATTGATGTAGTCCTCCAGAACAGGGGGCCGCCTCAGGACAGGATTGCGGGTGGCTGGTGAGGCCCTTGTGAGAGGCATATCAGCACAAGTGTCCGAGAGCCTGGGCAGGGACCAAGGCTCAGTCCTGTCACCCTAAGACAGGGGTGCCTGGATCTGTCCTCAGGCTAGAGCCCTCCCACAGGTCCCACCCCCCAGCCCATGTTCTGGGAATAGGACACATGGAGTGGGACACCCAAGCCACACACCCATCACCCCACAGCTCAGCGGGGACCTCAGGACTTGGTGGAGGGGTGATGTCCCTTGGTGGGGTGTCAGGAAGTGGTGGCTCCTCCATTTTCTCTGGCCTAAAGTTCAGCCTCTTCACTGCCTCCAGCCTGGGCCGCTTGACTTTAGGGGCTGCAAGAGATATCTGGAAGGAACAGGAAGCCCTTCACCAGCCTCACACCCACACCCAATGCCTAAGCAACCCTGCGAACATACTGGGGGGCAGGAGCCCGTCCTTCTGGAAGTTTTCATCCACCCGTCTCTTGCTAGCACGGCCCTCATTCTCCCCCGGACAGCCAGAGGCCGAGGGATGGGTGGCAGCGTCCCCTCCAGCGATGGCCTCCTCAAACATCAGACGTGGCAGGCGCGCAGTGGGCTGGGGGCCCCTGGAGGGTGACGTAGCCGATGTCCCTGCGAGAAGAGAAGATTCTCACAGCCGTCCTGGGACAGGCCCGCTCACAGGCTGCGCGTCTGTATCAGCCATGCTAGAGCGCCCTTCCCTCGCCCTGTCTCCACCACGCCCTGCCCTCGTCTCTGACTATCGACTCCCGGTGTCTCGCCTCCTCCGAGCAGCCCTCTCTGACTGCGGCGGTGAGGGCACAGATCCCGCCGTGCTGCAGAGAAGGCCGGGCCCGAGCGCGGAAAAACCCGGAGGAGCGTCCCAGGGCAGGAGCGGCGGGAAAGACCGCGGCCGGGTTAAACTACAACCCAAGGCCCACACCCACCTTCCAGTTCGGCCAGCACCTCGAGCTCGGCCTCGAACTGTTGGTCGAAGTCGTCCTCGACGCCATACAGCTCCTGCTCATAGTCCTCCATGGCGGCCGAGGGCCCGGGCCGGTTCCCGCCGCCCGCCAAGCCACCGGGTTCAGACTCGCGCGCCGCCGCTGCCCCGCCCCACGCGTTCCCGGCGCCGCCAACCAGGGCCCGCGTGTCCAGCGGCACTTGCCATTGGTCAGCGGGGCGCGGGCGGAGCTATGCACAAGGCGGGCGGGGCCGTGTCTTTGCTAATAGGCGGGGCCAGGGCCCTCGGGAGCTTGCCATTGGTGAATGCGACCGCCCGTCTGCGACGGGGAAGATCCGTAAGGCGGGGCGGAGGCGGGGCTGCGCGCGCAGGCCGGGACGGACAGAGGCGGTGCTGCGTGTTCCCAGCAGCTGTCGCCTGGTCTGTGGGTCTCCGCGAGAACGCGGGGTCTGGAGCCAGGGCCCGGGAGCGGCGCGGCGCCAGGTGAGTTTCCGAGTGGCCAGGGACGTGGATAGAGATCGGAGCTGGGTGTGCCCAGGCCTGTGCCCCAAGCCTCACGCCCTTTGCCCCGTGGCTCTGTGGGGACGTCAGAACTGAGTGGGGATGCGGACGGGCACAGGAAGGAGTACTTCCGTGGGCGTGCGGGTGAATAAGAGAGGGCGCAGCCTGCACCTGCACCTGCACCTGTACCCGGTGCTCCGGGCAGGCCTGGACCAGTGAAGGCCGCGGCAGCCCCTCTCCTGCTCACTTAGGGAAAGGTCCTTGTCAACATCTACACTTGGCGGGAGGATCTGCGGGCTACTGGAGGACAAGGCTGTTTCTGAGGTTCGGGTCAGGAAGGGGCCATCACGATCAGCCAGAATCAGGCTGACTCCCTGACTTCCACCAGGCCCTCATGTCCACTGGGCCTGGCCTGGAGAATGGAGGGCACAGGGGTGCCCCCATACAGTAGGTCTGTATGCTCACCTCGTGACTTCAGACCAGGAGCCCTGGGGGTGGTGAAGTCCTTGCCCTTGGACCGGGTGCCCCCATGTCCTCAGGACACACTTCCACCCTGGGTGGTAGGCCCATCATGGAACCGGGCAGCGTGGAGAACCTGTCCATTGTGTACCGGAGCAGCGACTTTCTGGTGGTGAACAAGCACTGGGATGTGCGCATTGACAGCAAGACATGGCGAGAGACCCTGACCCTCCAGAAGCAGCTGCGGCACCGCTTCCCTGAGCTGGCTGACCCTGACACCTGCTATGGGTTCAGGTACACAGGGCAGGGAAAAGGTGGCCTCTCAGCAGTGTCTGTCCAAGGAGGTGGCCCAGATGCTGGACACCACAGTGAAAGCCACTGCCCCTCAGCCTAGCCAGTGCTGATGGCTCTGCCGTGCCACAGGTTCTGCCACCAGCTAGACTTCTCCACCAGTGGGGCATTGTGTGTGGCCCTGAACAAGGCGGCTGCAGGCAGTGCTTACAGATGCTTCAAGGAGCGACGAGTGACCAAGGCTTACCTGGCACTAGTAAGTCCTGGGTGGGCCAAGGGAACTCAGGCCTCCCAGCCTGCTAGGGCAGTCCCCTTAATGCCAAGCTATCCACTGTGCCCCATGTGGCCAACCAGATATTAAGTGGTTTCTTTGGCAGTGATGGGCTGGCCCCCCCCATGAGCTGGGTGTGATCCTCCTGCCTTGCAGGTGCGGGGGCATGTCCAGGACAGCCAGGTGACCATCAGCTATGCCATTGGCAGGAACAGCACGGAGGGCCGGGCACACACCATGTGCATCGAGGGCACACAGGGTATGGCAGGCAAGAGCCAAGGTCACATCATGCCCAGCAGGGGCCCTGCATGGACAGGGCCAACTTGACAAAAGTCCTTTGTTGGGATTGACTGGGGCTCAGGGCAGGCCCCACTGACCTTTACACCCACCTTTTGCTCCCTAGGTTGTGAGAACCCAAAGCCAAGCCTCACAGAGCTAGTGGTCCTAGAACATGGACTGTATGCAGGTGACCCCGTCTCCAAAGTGCTACTAAAGCCTCTCACAGGTATATGCAAGCTTGGACAGTGCTCCGGTTACATAGAAAAGGAAAATCAGGTACAGAGGTGGAATAGCCTGTTGGAGTTACTCTGAGCATCAAGGTGAACCAGAGCCTATGCTCTCAACTCCACAACCTATAGTTTCTTGCCTGATGTGAGAGTCCTTTGCTGGCTCTTGTCTAAGCCCTGGATGTCCTGCTGGCCTAGGTTCTCTAGCCACATCAAGTGCTGTGCTAGTCCTGGTCTGGCTGTTGGTGATCCTGGAGGCAGTCTCATGTACCTGAGTGCTGACATCCTTGTCTGTAGCAGAAGACAGGGAGGCTCCCGTTCCAGGGGGTTGCTACAAGGTTCCAAGGCTACAGTGGGGGAAGTTGCTGGTTATGATGTGAGCCAGGCAGGGAATGTGCATGTGGAGTACCACCTCTCCAGCCTGACTCACTTCCCTGCCCGCAGGCCGGACACACCAGCTACGGGTTCACTGCAGTGCTCTTGGCCACCCCGTGGTGGGTGACCTGACCTACGGGCAGGCTGCAGGCCGGGAGGACCAACCTTTCCGTATGATGCTGCACGCCCTCTACCTGCGCATCCCCACACAAGCCGAGTGCATAGAGGCCTGCACTCCAGACCCCTTCCTGCCTTCCCTCGATGCCTGCTGGAGCCCCCACTTCCTGGTCCAGCCGCTTGACCAACTCGTCCAGGCCTTACGGGCCGCCCCTGACCCTGACCCTATGGACAGGGGCCCTGGACCATGCAGCCCCTCTGCACTCCTGCCTGGGCCAGGCCGGCCCCCACCTCTCTGCACCAATCCCCCTGAAACTGAGGCGCAACGAGCCTCCTGCCTACAGTGGCTGTCAGAGTGGACACTGGAACCAGACAACTAAGCCCCATTGGGCTACAGTAGAGGATGGTGGGCTGGGACCCCAGGGGGCTGGGGGCTATGCGACAGAGCCCTAGGTCCATCTGGAAAAAGATGGTGTCTCTCCTGGTCAAGGTGGAGGAGGACTGAGCCCACCAGGCTGCCAAGGGCAGGCAGGGAAGGGCTGGCAAGTCCAGCAGGGGGCGCCAGGCAGCCATGTTCTTTGGCAAGGATGGAGCACTCAAGCTGGGACTGTCGCTGATGTGGGGCCCGTCCTCCCAGTGTTCCCTGGGGAAACCTAGGGCATTCCTTCCTATAGGTGTCCACCTCTGAAGCTTCATCCCAGGGGCTTCCATTTTATAAATCTGCCCAAACTTACCTGCTAAGAGAGGTAGAACCAGAGTCTGGGCTAGCCTTTGCCCCCTAATGGGCTCCTCACCCTAGAGAAGCTGGAGATAGCTGTTCTGCCCTAATCATCTGGGCCTCAGCCCCATACCCGTGGTCCTTGTGCTCCAAAGGCTCTTCTCTGACCCTCTCACCCTGTCTGTCCTCCTGCAGACCCTGACCCTCCCCTGCCTGGCAGGAGTCTGTGTGCTGTGCCCAGACCTACCTCGTGCCTTTGCTTTTGCTGAACTCTGCTCTCGGGCTTCACCCTTCTCCACCTGGATCCTGAGTCTGGGGTTGGTACTTGGTCTCTGTCAGTACAGGGTTCCATCAGGAACAGTAGAGGCCTTGGAGTGCACACTTGCCCATCCAAACCTACTGCTGGTGCCACTTCTGCTTCACAGCCTTGGCAGCCTCATCCTCAGTTCCTACCATGTCACCCCTGCCTGGTTCCCACACAGCCACTGCCTGTCGCGCTCTGCTGTGAGGGCCCTACCTTGGGATCCATGAGCTGGCTGGTTCCCCTTTACCTGCCTGTGCAGGGCCTTAGGGACTCGAAATAAATGCTCAGTGATTGGCCCTGAAAGTGACCGCGAGTGTTTCTGAAGTAGGTGGTTCTGGAAGATAAATTTGGGCACCCAGACCCATCCTAGCCCTGTCCCTGCAGTCATGAACTGTCTGCCCAAGAGGCCACCACTCTGCGGGACCCAGGATAGACATCATGACATGTTGCTCTTCCTGGCACCAAGTACCCTGACTTAGGGACAGAAGCTGAGTTAGCTCACCTGGACGACCCCCAGCCCTCCTAGCCCCAAGCCCTGAAGCACCCAGCTGGCCTCAGCCTGGACCCCTCTGTCCGGCACACCCAGCCCCTTCCAGTCTTGAATGTGCCAGGCCCTGCAGGGCACATTCCCACCTCCTTACAGCTACCTGGGGACCATCCTACATAGTGCTGCTCTAACATGCAGGTCCTAAGACCCTGCCATCCTGGACTCTGAGGTGATGAGCTTCATTGCTTCCCAACCTTGGCACTTCTCTAAAGGTCCAGGAGCTGGGGCTGGGCAGAGACTATCAGACATCCCTTCCTTCCTTTCCCCCAGGAAGCTCCCTCACCCACAGTGATTTGCCATGTGAAGGAAGATGGGCTGCTTGTGGCTCCCTTAGGGCTGAGCTCAGAAGGCAGCTTTTCATACCAGGACAGAGTGAACCATTTTTCCCCAGGTACCTTTTTAGTGCCACCACATTGCCCGTCCTCCAAACACCTTGGAGATGGAGCTACAGTGGCCATGACCTTTCCCCAACCTTCAGGACCAGCTCCCACCCTGCAGGCAGGGCAGGAGCTCAAAGAGCTGCCTCCATATCACTGCTCTGCAGTGGGCACCCACTAACCAAGTGCCAGATGCTCCTGGGTGATATCAGGACATGAGCCAGGGGCTCAGAGCCTGAGGAGGACCCCAGTACACAGCATAGGGCTTCTGAGAGAGCACAAGATGGGCATGGCTGACTGCAGAGCCAGGTGTGGGCTGGAGAGTGAGCCTGTAGAGCCAGGGAGGACATGCATGGGAAGGTGGCAGACAGGAGGGAGGCAGGAGGTCCTGGGGAAGGCTCTGCCTCTGGTGCACCCTCTCGCCCATCTAGTTCCTCCCCTCAAAGACCCCTGTGGCTCCTGGTGGCCTCCTAGGACCCAAAGATGCCACTGACCACCACCTATCAGCCAACCCTCACCTCTCTGTTAAGTAGGATGCTTCTCCTGGTCTGAGGCTTCCAAACATGAGTTCCACCCAGCCCACCTGCCACTCACCCCGTAGCTGTGGGGTGGCAAGGCTCCATGAGTGTGAGTATGGCTACACAGTGTGGACACACCAGATGAGACAAATGAGGGGCTGTCCTCAGACAACAGTGGCTGAGCAGGTGCCCCAGGCAAAGCAGGAACAAAGCATGGCATGGCAATGTAGAGGATCCACGAGGAGAACACACAGGTACTGGGCACTCCCTCACTGGGTGGCCTCAGGAAGTCATTCAGTCTGGATAATTTCCTGTCCTGTAAATGAGGGTTACAGCTGAACCAAGGATCATGGGGCAGATCCAGTAAGATGGTCTGTGGAAGAGCATGGGATGAGGTATGGCAACTTGTCCAGCCTGGGGCTGCGGCTGCCCTAGAGGACAAGCATGCTGTCTGTGTCCTAGCTGACCTGTGAGGAGTCTCCTCCAGCTGGGCCTGGGCCCTGGGGTGGGTAGAGACTCTCACCACATGATACCCCTCCCTCTTTGTGAGCCCTTGGTCTTTGGCCAAGGTAAATTTGCTCAGGGCTTGAGGTGGAGTCAGCGGGCCTCAGAGTCAGTGCTGGGGCCCAGGTGGCTTTTCCCTCTACCTAGGACTCTCTCTCCCAACCTGCCCCTGGACCCAGCCACTCTAGACTTTAGGGACTCACTACTCTTCACCACAGCTGCTGCAGCTATTAAAGTCACTGTGGTCAGCCAAGAGGCCCTTTGAGGCCCATCCTGAGCTAGACATGATGCTGATGAGCCAGGCCACCCTAGCTCTGTCCCCTATAGGCCCACTGGCCCTCCTGCTGTCTCACCTTTCACCTTGCCCTGCCCCCAGACTCAGTGAGTGGCATCCCTGAGGATGTAGCTGCAACTTGAGCTAACCAGGGCCCTTAGTGGGGACAGGGCTGTGTGTGGCTCAGTTATTTGCCAATGAGGCTGCCCTTGGCATGTGCCCATACACGTCCCCTCTGCCCATGGTGCACACACATGTGCATACACAGAAGGACCACAGGCATCACTAGGCCCAGCCCCTACAATGGGTCCATGTGTGCCCAATGTCCCTGCATGGGGACACACACAGGGGCTCAGCACATGTCTCAGTTCTCCTGGGTGCACAGCTCCCTGGGACTGAGGTGCACATGTGTGCAGACACAGACACTGGCACAGGCAACTCTCCAGGCCCAGGTGAGGAGGTGCATGCTGAGCAGCTGCCAGCTGTGAGCTCAGCCTCTGCTCCCATGGGGCCAGGGAGCAGGTGCCTGATGTGCCAGGGCCCTTAGGGGCTGACACATGGTGTCACCTGCCACTGCCCAGGCCCCTCCCCTATAGGATGCCTGGAGGAAGTCACTGCAGTCTCCTGCACTTGCTGAGCCAGACATGGAGGTAAGCAGGGACCCTAGTGACTGCACCTGCACTGTGGTGTTTGGCAGCACTGGCTGATATGCTTAGCTTCTGGGACCTCTGCATCTGGCATACTTGGTCTACAGCTCCCTGCATCCAACTACAGTGGTGTGGCCTGGAGCAGCTGCCCCCAGCCTGGGTGGCACCTCCCGTTCCACAGACGGTATTCCTGCTTGGGTAAGAGAACTTCCCATCCATGGGTTCTGAGCTTTGATACTGGGCCCCTAGACAGCCCTGGGCAGGTGCTGAGTTCCTCTGAGCCTCAACTCCTCTGCCTGGGGCGACCTCCCTGTCTTCCCCATGGAGGTCACAGAAATTCAGAGGCCCAGAGGTTCCGAAGGCCATCAGGTGCACACAGCTATACCTAGGAGGAGGCAGCAGCATGTGGCAGTCCTGCCACCTTGGCCAGGCCTTGTCTCCCCGCACCGTACCTCACAGCTCCCTCAAGCCTCATAGCTATTGTTCCCAGGGCAGCCAAGGCTGCTTGATGCTGGGACTGGGTTTCTATGACAGAGTTGCCCACTGCCTGAGTGTGGAGTGAGCTGGGGGTTGCCCTGAACAGGATGAGGGGCTCACCAGGCCCCTCCCCAAGGAATTTGCTATTTATCCAGCGATCTGTTAATTGGAGATGCAGCCAGCCTCATAGGTCCCTGGAGTCCTGACCTGTGATAAGAAAGCTTGGACTTGCCCCTCCCCCCTCCTCCTTTGTTTGGAAGACTATTGTTTTGTGGGGCTGTTTCCCTCTCCAAACAGGCGATACCTTGCAGCTCTAGCCCGAGGCCATCCTGAGAGACCTTGGGCCTCTCTCTCACTGCAGGCTGAGGTGGCAGAGGGAAGGGGGTCAGCCTGGGTCACCCTCTGCCCCCCTCACCCACCAGTCCTGGACCTGCTGCCTGTGGCCCCAGTGCCTTTCTACCCTGGACATCTCAGCCAAGATGACAAGCCTGCTCCGCCACATAGACTTGTACCCCAGAGTGGGTGAGACACTTTTGCGCGGAAGGGGTGCCCTGAGCCTTCACAGTGCAGACTGAGGGGTACTCAGGGCTCCAGCCACTAGCTCTCCTGAGCTCACACTCAAGGGCCTGTGCCAGCAAGGGGCAAGAGGAGGGCAGGCCTCTGCCCAGCACGAACGGCAGCCGGGTGCCAATAGGCATGGTACGCACAGCTCTTGCTGTGGGGCCCAGGATTCTCAGTTACAAGTCAGATACAAGGCAAGGTTGTAGCCAGAGGGAGAAAGGCAAGGTGTAAGGTGCACAGAGCCCCCCAAGAGCCCTGGCACAGGCAGGCCAGGCTCCTAGGCAGAGTGGGAAGGAGCCTGGGACACCCACTGCCCAGAGCCTTGTCCTCTCCGGGAAGGGATGCTGGTCCAGCAGCTCAGGAGGCCATGGACAGAGCTATGTGGGCCATGGCCAACTTCTCCTAGAGCTGACACCCCCTCTGTGGAGACCTTTTGATGCTGAAGAAGAAATTTTTCTAAGTAGTCTGCCTAGGGCCCATAAGGTAAGGGGGCTCCCTTAGACCTGAACTCCCTTGGACCTGAACTTGGGCAGGGTTTCCAAAGCAGGAACATGGGCCAATCCCCTCAAATCTTGCTGGCAGGCCTGGCTGTAACCTCACTTTAGAGGCTGAGCAACTGGGGCTCTGGTAGGCAGCCCAACCCCTGGACTCTCTGCTTCAAGGATCCCAGGGCTCAGACTGAGGATATAGCCCCACGGGCATATGGCTGGAGGAAGAGGGGGTTTACACATGTGCACACACCTTTACACACATGCATGGACACTGGTGGACATGTACATGTGCCTCTAGATGTGTGTGTACATCATATACGTGTATGCTGTTACATACACACAACCTGGCATGTGGGCACACACCATCAGACACTCTGTGGCCCAAGAGGCTTCCTCTGGCCAGGCCCTCAGGGGTCTCTCTGTTCCAGGTGCCCTGGCAGGCCCCGGCTTCACTCTCCTCCTGTCCCTGTCCCTTACTGCCCACTGCTCCCGTCCCCAGGAAGGGCTGGATGCCAGCGGGGCTGACCTATGGGCCAGGTGAGTGCCCAGCCCTCCTGCAGCTCCAGATCTGCACACCAAGTGTTTTCTGTGGCAGAGGGAGAGGGAAGAGGAGGGTTCCTGGGAGGGACAATTTCTAGGGTCTGCCATGAGGACCCAGGCACAACCCTGCAGGGCTGATGTCTCTGAACTCCAGCCTTAGGAGCCTGGCCTTCTCTCCAAGGTCACTCCCCAAACAGACCCTGAGATGACCAGAGTGTCCAGTGTCCTGCTGCAGAGTCGTATGGCCAGGAACAGGTCCCCAGGCTACTGCCATGTTTGCAGCAGAGCTAGACACCAAGAGGCTAGCAGAGACTCACAGTCCTGGCCGGGCCATACTGGCTGGACTGAGCTCCCATGCCTCCCCTCAGGCTCTGGGCCCCACTGCTTCTGCCTGGAGGCTTGGTCACCCAGCTGGGAGACTATCCTTTCCTGTCACTGTCTGGGGTCTCATACCTAGACTCAGCTTAGATAGGTTGATCAATCAGTCAGGCAATTAGTCAGGCAGGGACAGGCCGTGAGTGGCACCTATTGGAGTCACAGCATAGGAAGGCCAGGGAAATAGCCTTGCCTATGGCCAGAGCAGGTGCAGAGGCCAAGTCTGCAAAATCCCTCAGCAGGTGGGGGTTTATGCAGAGCCCCCAAGCTCAGACCTGGGGCTGGGCCTCAAAGGGTCCCAGAGTCTGGGCAGGGGAGCCTGGCCCCACAGGGTGCTCTGAGAGGGGGTAAATGTATGAAGGCATGAATGAAGCAGGATCTCGCTTGTGTCTAGGCACTTCCCAGATACCACTTCCTGTTCTCAGTCCCTCTCTGCTGGGAGGCAGCTGATACTGACCTCTCTCCTGCCTCTGCAATCTGCACCAGTCCCTCTGGCTGTCCCCACCCCTCACCATATCCCCCTGTCTGCCCAGGGCCAACAGCTCCCTGCTGCAGGGCTTCTGGTGCCAGCCAGCTAGCCAGCTGACCCGGGACCAGCTCTCAGCTCTCATCAGGAGAATGGCCAAGCTGCAGGTCCTCCTTGAAGCCTGGCAGGTAACTAGCTGTGACTGGGCAGGGGGCATTTGCAAAGATGCGAGAGGACCTCCCTGGCAGAGGATGGGCAGGTGAGGGCTGGGCAGGGCCAGCCTTGTCAGAGCTAAAAGTGTGCAGCTCCTCTGAACCCAAGGGCTGTCTCAAAGTCAATCTGCCAACTCCAAAACTGCCTAAAATGTGTGTCTTTAGTGGACCCCACCCCTCTAAAGCTGGACTTTCCCTCCCTCGGGTGGTTTTCTGGTGTGGCAGTGCTGTGTCCCTTTCCAGGATTTCCCAATTTGCCTGCAGATCTCCTGCCTCCTGTTTTGGTGGGGCTTGTCCATTCGCCTGGGCTGGCTCATCTAACTTGGTGGAGTGCCCTGTGCCCCTGGGCCCCCAGGGCATGTATGTGCATGGGTTTCATAGCTCACTGGCCTCTGCCAACTGGGGCTGCAGGACCCTGGCCTGTGAGAAGCTAGTTGAGCCCACCTTGACCCTCAGCTGACCAAGCATCATCTAACCCGAGTCAGAGACTGAAGAAGGCAGGAAGGCTGGTTGGCTTTGTCACTTTGTCCCTTTATATAATTAGTAATAAACTTGTTCAAGAAAAGTTGAAAAGGCTGGGCATGGTGGCTTACTCCTGTAATCCTAGCACTCTCGGAGGCCAAGGCGGGTGGATATCTTGAACTCAGGAGTTTGAGACCAGCCTGAGCAAGATCAAGACCCCATCTCTACTAAAAATAGAATAACTAGCTGGCATTGTGGCTGGTGCTGTAGTCCCAACTACTCAGGAGCCTGAGGCAAGAGATCGCTTGAATCCAAGAGTTTGAGGTTGCTATGACCTAGGCTGATGCCACGGAACTCTACCCAGGTGACAGAGTGAGACTCTGACTTAAAAAAAAAAAATTGGCTCAGCACCCATAGCTCAGTGGTTGGGGTGCTGGCCACATGCCCAGGGGCTGGCAGGTTCGTGCCTGGCCAGGGCCTACTAATCAACAATAACAACTACAACAACAAAAATAGCTGGGCATTGTGGCAAGTGCCTATAATAGCTGGGCATTGTGGCAAACTACTTGGGAGGCTGTGGCAGGAGAATCGTTTGGGCCCAGGAGTTTGAGGTTGCTGTGAGCAGTGGCGCCACAGCACTCTACCGAAGGTGACCTGGTGAGACTCTGTCTCAAAAAAAGAAAGAAAGAAAGAAAGAAATATTGAAAAACACAGGAAAAGTAAAAGAACCCTACCTCCCCCAACCAGGGAAAGGCCTAACTTTGGTGTCATTCCTTCTAGTGCCTGTCTAAGTAGGGTTCAGTCTAAGTAGGGTTCTAGGCTATGCCCGTGTGTCCCCAGGAGCCATGTGCTCCAAGGATCTGATTCCTAAGCCACAGCTCTTTCCCACTGGTCATTTGCCTCACACTGCTTTCCCTGAAGTGAAATGCACCACATACAACAGGTTCCCGACTCAGAACCTGGGAAAGTGCATATTCTGTAAGGTATTTGCCTGGCTGCAAAATTAATACCTGCTTATGTGGGAGACTTTGAAAGATACTAGAAAATACAGGGGAGAACACAAAATCCAGCTGCCCAATTTTGTGGGGTCCCAGTTTCTCTTGGTCACCAGCATCACAGGAATTGTTTTATTTTATTTTATTTGCAGTTTTGGGCCAGGGCTGGGTTTGAACCCGCCACCTCCGGCATATGGGACCATAACCCTACTCCTTTGAGCCACAGGCGCCGCCCTTACACGAATTGTTTTATACAAATTGTTGAATTTCTTAAAACGCCTTAAGGGGAATCATAGGATCACAGGGGTTAACTTCCCAAAGGCCCTTAATCCATACATACCCTGCTGTTTTCCAAAATAAGAAGACTCGTATCACCCCACCAGGGAGACTAAGCCTCCCGCCACCCTCCCTCCCCAGGATTTAATATGATCATTTAAAAGTCTTTGCTGATCAAGCAGGGAAATGACATCTTTGATGTGAACATTTTAAAGCCAAAGGTACCTGTTCTTCAGTTGGTTTCTAGAAGGTTCTGCCAGTTTTTGATTCTCTGGGAATGCGTGAGAGGCTGACTTGCTGCACCATCACCAGAGTTAGGGGTCACCATTTAAACAAACGACAACCCTCCTTGGCATTTCACCTGCACGATTTCTCCACTCTGTTCTCTCCTGTGTTGTGTGGATTTGTACAAGGGTGTCTCGTCTTCATAGCACATTTAGGAATGCATAAATGCCCTTATGGGCTGACTTTTTAAAATTAATAAACAATTGTTTAGAGCAATCTTAAGTTTACAGAAAATTGAACAAATAGTACAAAGAGTTTCCATAAACCCCTCCATATTCTCATTCTCACTCTCTCTTCCCATTTTTAGGTTATTAACATCTTGCAGTGTGGTACATTTGTTATAACTGATGAAGCCATACTTCATAGCTACACTATTATTAACCGAAGTCTGCAGTTTACATTAGGGTTCGCTGTCTGTGTTGTACATTTTATGGGATTTGCATATGGACCAGTATCCATCGTTAAGGGGTTAGCAGAGGAGTTTCACCTAAAGGTCCTGTGTCACCACCTGTTCCTCCTCCTTCCTCCCTCAGAGCCCCCAGCAACCATGGCTATTTTACTCGCTCCATAGCTCTGCCTGTTCCAAGTGTCACATAGTTGCAATCAGCCAGTATATGGTCTTTCGGGTTAGCATCTTTCACTTAATAATATCCATTTGAGGCTCCTCTGTGTCTTATCAAATGACTTGATAGCCCATTTTTATTTATTACTGACAGCCATAAACTGTATCACAGTTTCCTTATCCATTTACCTACCAAAGGACATCTCCATTCATTCTAACTGGTGTGTAGGTTTTGGTGGGGGATGTAAGTGTGCAGCTCGTGTGGATAAATACCAGGGAACACCATTGCTGGGTCATGTGCTAAGCCTACAGTTAGCTTTGTAGGAAACTGACGAGCTGTCTTCCAAAATGGCTGTACTATTTTTCATTTCCACCACTGTGAATTAGAGTTCTTGTTGCTCCCTGTCTTTGCCAACATTTGGTGGTGTTGTTGTTTGGGGCCTGTGCCATTCTAATAGGTATGTTTGCTATCCCATTGCAACTCCCTGATGACATATAATGTTGAACATCTTTTCACATGATTGTTTGCCATCTGTTTATCTTCTTTGGTGAGGTGTCTGTTCAGACAGTTTGCCTGTTTTTTAATTGGGTGCTTTGTTTTCTTATTGTTAAATTTTAAGAGTTCTTTGAATATTTTATGTGCAGGTCCTTTATTCAGAGATGTGTTTTGTAAACATTTTCTCTCAGACTGTGGGTTGTCTTTTCAATCTTTTAACAGTGTCTTTTGCAGAGCAGAAGTTTTAAACTTTAATAAAATCCAGTGAGTTTAATAAACATATTGATGCTTCCTTTCACAGACTATGCTTTTGGTATTGTACCTAAAAACTTACCACCAATTCCAAGGTCACCTCAACTTTCTCATCTGTGATCTTCTAGACGTTTTGTAGTTTTGTGTTTTACATTTACATCTGTGATCCATGCTGAGTTAAGTTTTGTTAAAGGTGTAAGATCTGTTTCTAGATTCATTTTTTATACAGATGTCCAGTTGTTCTAGCACCATTTGTTGAAAAGACTGTCCTTTCTCCATTAATTTCTTGTGGTCCTTTTTCAAGATCTGTTGTCAATAGATCTGTTTCTGGATGTTCCATTCGACTCTATTGGTCTATTCGTTCTTTCAACAATACCACATTGTCTCCATTACTGGGGTTTCATAGTAAGTCCTGGAATCACGGAGTGCCATGTCTCTGATTTTCACTACTGTATGGGCCATTCTGGATCTTTTGCCTTTCCACGTAAACTTTAGAATCAGTTAGGTGACATACATGAGATAACTTGCTGGGATTTCGATGTAGATTGTGTTGAATCCATGAATCCAGTTGGGAAGAGCTGATGGCTTACTGGTATTGAGTATCACTGTTCATGAACATGGGGTATCTCTCCATTTACTTAGATCTTCTTTGATTTCTTTCATCTGAGTTTTACAGTTTTCCTTGTATAGATCTTATACATACTTTGTTACGTTCATTCCTAAGTATTTCATGATTTTTGGTGTTAATATTAATGATATTGTGGTTTTTATTTCATATTCCAATTGTCATTGCTAGTATGTGGGAAAGCAGTTCCCTTGTGTATGTTAACTATGTATCATGTTGTCTTGCCGTATTTGTTTATTAGTTTCAGGAGATTTTGTTCTTGTTATTGTTTGTTTTTGTTGATTCCTTGGGTTTAGACAGTCATGTCATGCATGAACAAAGGTTTTATTTTTCTTATCAGATCTATATGTCCTGTATACCCTTTTCTGGTCTTATCACGTTAGTTGAAAGTCCAGTCTGATGTTTTACTACCCATGAAATGGTATAATATTATTTCAGAGTGGACTCAGATTAGTTGTGAATGTTTATTGTAAACTCTAGGGAAACCACCCAATTTTTTAAAAAGAAACACGATTGGCTTGGCTCCTGTGGCTCAAGTGGCTAAGGCACGAGCCACATACACCTGAGCTGTTGGGTTTGAACCCAGCCCGGCCCGCCAAACAACAATGATGGCTGTAACCAAAAAATAGCCAGGCGTTGTGGTGGGCGCCTGTAGTCCCAGCTACTTGGGAGGCGGAGACAGGAGAATTGCTCGAGCCCAGGAGTTAGAGGTTGATGTGAGCTGTGAGATGCCACGGCACTCTACTGAGGCTGACAGCTTGAGGCTCTGTCTCAAAAAAAAAAAAAAAGAAAAGAAAGAAAGAAACACGATTAATGTGCTAAGAGAGGCAAGAAAATGGAATCATATATAACAATCAATTGAAACTAGGGAATGGGCTCGGCGCCTGTGGCTCAACCGGCTAAGGCACCAGCCATGTACACCTAAGGTGGCGGGTTCGAATCCCCAGCCCGGACCCGCCAAAACAACAATGATGGCTGTAACCAAAAAATAGCCAGGCGTTGTGGTGGGCGCCTGTAGTCCCA